GGCCCAGTCCCCACACTCCCCAGTCATATCGCCTCCCCAGTCCCCTCACACCCCCTGGCCATACCACCCAGCCCCCACACCCTTACCCAGGACGCTGAGAGTGGCACCATAGGCCCCAAGGAGCACGGCAAAGTGGCTGCTTTCACAGACAGATGGACACATCTTCACCACCACCGACATCAGATCCACTAGCGCTTCTGGAAGGAAACAACACCGAAATGCATAGCAGTGCAGGGGGATGTGCACACAAAAATAAAAGTAGATGAGGACGCATTTCAGGGAACATTTAAATGCTTGAAATATCCTCCTCTGAACAGTATCAGTCTCTGGACTGTGCCTTGTCCCTCTTTTTCTTTTTTTAAATGAGGCATATCTTCACCACTGTCTCTCTCCTTGGCAGGGCTGTCATTGCTCTCTTCACTCCCCCTCCCACATTTTAAGCCACCAAAGATTTTAACACCTAAGCATGCTCCTCTGTGATTATGTTAGCAAAGTCTCTATATATCTACTCCTGCCTAAATAAACAGCGGGGCCTTTGTGATTTTCCTACCACCCACACCAGCAACTCGGGGGACGGCTCTCTTCGATCCAGCAGCTGATTACAGACTGACCCCATGGGGATTTCTACCGGCTTGAGCATGTTCATTTTGTCTCCAGGCAGAGCGTTGCTTCAAGAGGACAGGACCCTTCAGACCATCTCCTCTGCTGCTTGGCCCAAAGTCAGAGGAAATACTTCTTGGGCTTGGATTTGACAGAAACAAAACATCCTAATGCCATTTTGGTAATGCCTCCTTAGCTCTGAAAACGCATCGGTGCTAAACCTTGGTGCGCAGCTAGCGGGGGTCACCTTTTACTTGATTGTCCAGGTTTTCCTCTTCTTCAGACTTTAGTAGAGTTGGCAAAAAGAGAGAATGCTGCGTGAGCATCATGTGGACCACTGGGAGCTGGATGAGCTTCGTGCACATGGAGTTTTCAGGAAGATACAGGCACTGTATGGCAGCATGGAGGGCCTTTAAAAATGCGTGGTCCTGATACCGAAATCTAGGAGGCATGAATCAAAGGGGGAAAGAACTTCACATAGGGGAGTTTTATTTCGCAGGATACAACAAAAAACCTTTCTCTTGGCATTTTCTTAAGAAAAATTTCTAACACACCACAAAGATGACAATTTTACAGCGCATACCCGTCTACCCATGTGGATCCCACTACTGTCGCTGCAGGACACTTGCTCTATCACACACCTAGCCGTCCACCCATGGCAGGGGGCATTTCTGAAAACAGGGAGGGGATGCATTTTTTTTCCTGCGGTGCGAACACCAAACGAACTTCCTATTCAGTTAAAGTGCCAGGAGGCAGAAGAGCTGAGCCTGAATCAAGATACCGCTCACTGCTCAGCCCGTCCTGCCACGTCAGCCTCCCCGCTTCCTTGCGTCCGGCTACTGAGAGCTCCCATCCAGGGGTTCAGAGGCCTTCTCGGCCTTCATCCCTCAGAACCCACTGAAGGGATGAAAGCATCCTGCTCTGGAATACAGCAGCTTTTCAATCATATGTGACTAACCTTAAGAATCACTTAGCATACAGTGGGCATTCTAGAAATACAAATTAACCGAAGCCCAAAAGAAATGTCACTATTCCATGATGGCAATCCAAGGCAGTCATTGATCTGTGACCCACCTTCACGTCTTTCTCTTCTCTTGGGCCAAGTAAAGCATTTTTCTGTTTCAAGTCGGTGACTAATCAGGGAAGTGAAAATTAGAGGCACAACGACAGTTTCATGAGTCTGACCCTATCAAGTGCGAGTGAGGATGTGAGGAAAAGATGTGCTAGGTGAGCTCGGAAACTTTGGAGAGCAAGCTAAAAATCTAGTAAAACTGAAGCTGTGGCCACACTCCCTGCCAGCGAGCGCCGCTCCGAGAAAACCTGGCACGAGGCATGAAGGGGCGCGCAGCCTTCACTGCAGGCACGGGAGGGAGGGAGGAAGGGAGGGAGGGAGGAAGATGTCCACCAGCGGGGGAGAGGGGGGCTGAAAACAGAATCATACCCCCCCACCCCCGCAGCAAAAACAAATGGGCTGAGATCTAAGTGTATCAGCATGGGTAACTCAAAAACACTTGAGTGCAAGAAAAAAAAAAAGACACATAAGGCGATACATTTGTATAGAAAGTGAAGCCAACTAAAATACTGTCATTACTATTTAGAGACATGTTGGCATGCAACCAAGGTAGGAAAACACCCATGGCCATGATGAAGCCTGACCTCAGGAGAGTGACGCTTTATGGGGCGGGGGGGGGGGGGGGGCGGAGGGGGATAGGGACAAACACAGGAAGCTGCCGGCACTTATTCGATCGGGGCGCTGCTGTCGTATTCTCTGCGTGCTCTGGTTTCTTAAAAATGTTTCATTTTTTAAAGGCTGCTTCTGTCATCGTCACGTCAGTGGGTAAATCGTCCAGCCTCCGCGGCATCCCACACCCCGTCATCCGTGAACCGGGAGCGGCCCGTGATCCACAGACGCCGGGCTAACGAGCTACCACGCAGGCTTGGCGTCGCATGCTCACGCCCTTACTCAATTACCCCGAGAGAGCAAAACGGACTCACTTGAGTCCAGTCTTCACAAACTTCTGCCAATCACCAGGATCAACTTCATTAAGGGAATTCTGTGAATAAAAGAAGAAATATTCAGGGGACATCTTCAATTCATTTAAAGCACAGAATACAGATCTTAAATTAGAGGCGTTCAGTAAACACGGAAAACAGTGAGTGACCTAAGGAATCCATAGAAGCACGCAGTTGTTTCTTTCTTTGATTTTTTAAATTGTTTTATTATTTCTGCTAATGGCTCTGTCATTTTATTAGCATGTCTATGATCACCAAATGAGCAGAAAAACACTCCCTAACAGTCCTGTTACCTATCCCTCTGTCCACCACTTCAGAAGGCGCTCGTGGCCTGCGTCACGCACAGGGCCAGCCGCTCATGGCTTAAACACAGGACAGCACCTCTCCCCAGCGGAAGACCTTTGCACCATCAGCAGGGCCAATGCTGGTCCACAGTCACCGATGTAGAGAAAATCTCCAAATACAGCGCTAAGTTAAATCACAGGGGTGGGTGCTCTGGAGGGAAGGGAACTTCCTGGGATGATGAAAATCTCTGATGGGAGTGTGGGCACGAGGGTATATGTGCATTTGTCAACACTAAACTCTACACTTAAGAGCCCATATTTACACACACACACACACACACACACACACACACACACACACAAAAGGCCTGTATTTCACAACATGAAAACTATTCCTCAGTTAAAAGGGCTGGTGAGGTGGGCTCAGAGTGGGCGGCTGCGTGTGCCTGGCAGCAGGGGGCACAGGGAAACTCTGTACTGTCTGCTCAGCTCTGCTGTGAACCTAAAACCTAGAAACAGTGCATCTATGAAAGAGGAAAAAAGAAGAGAGAGAACGGGAGGTAGGGGAGGGGGGAGGCAAATCCCTGAGAAGAGCAGAGCCCGCCCTCAGTCATCGAGCTGGCCTCCTGGATGAGGGGCTGACGACAGGGTCACACAGGAAGGGCCACTGTCACCAGTGGCGGGTGAGCCCAGCACCCTCCTCTACGCTCAGCTCTCCCTAGGTCTCAGGGATGTTCCTCGTGCCCCCTAGTTCTGCCATGTTTGGGCTCCTAGGTACTTTGAACGCACAAACCTGTAACACAATGAATTAAGGCTGAGATACAGGTTAAAAAGTCTCCTGATACAACATAAGCACACCGCTTGATCTATAACCTACGAATCTATTTATCACACAACTGTCACCTAGGGTTATTTTCCTGAGGATTACTTTTTAAATTTTGGGTCCAGAGTTTAAACACAAGTCACAGACCCTATGAGTTTTAATGCAATTTTACATCACGGACTGAGGAATAACTCATATCCTTCAGGATGTTATTCCTGTGCAAAAATAATAATTTTATAATGACCAAAAATAGCTGAATATTTCCAAATTTTATGACAGCTCTAGGCTCATAGTGGCAAGAAGCTCCATGAACCCCAAGCATAAGAACCTTAAATAAAACTACTCTAAGGCACATCATGATCATGTTGCTTTAAACAACGTAAAGAAAAAAAGCTCCTAAGGCAGGGGAACAAAGGTAAGAATGACAAACTTCTTATGGAGAACAATGTATGCCAGAAGACGGGAAAGCAACGACGTTTGACAATGTTCACAGGAAAGAAAAACCTGGAATGAAACTTCCCAACTCATTCTGAGGGCTATGTTACCTGATCCTAAAACCAAAAAACAACAGACTGCTAGAAAATGAAATTATAAACAGATATCCCACATGCACACAGATGGAAAAATTCTTAATAAAATATTAGCACATCAAATCCAACGATACGGAAAAACTGTAATACACTGTCATCAAGCAGGTGTATCCCAGGAACATAAAGTTAGTTTAACCATCAAAACTCAATTAATGTAAGTCATCTTATTAGCAGACTAAAAAAAAAACCAAAACCATAAACCATTTCAGTAGAAGCAAAAATGCGCTTGACAAAATCCTACATCCGTTCTTGGAAGAAGGCGGCGCATCGTCTCGGGGCAGAGTCAGCCCTGCTCATCTCCCACTACTTCTGGGTGCACATCTGTGAACTCTGGTCTGTCTATTCCACTCTTTCCTTTCAAAGTGTAATCAGGCTCTCTAAGGAAAGGAAAGACACCTACCAGCAGCTCACTAAATCTCAGCAGCATCTGCCTCTCCTGATCCCGGGTACTGTCGTGGTCTTGCTGGCCACCATGGAAAGATACGATCAGCCATTTCACACAGGACTCCAACAGAGTCCTCCTCCAGGTACGCAGCTCTCCGGCCGACCCTTCCAGCACTGCAGACACAGAGTCGGCCACGCTCCAACTGCACAGAAGACAGAAGGCACAGAGTTGGGGGGATGGCCTAAACCCCTCCAGCTTAAGTGTAACTCCCATTACAATGGGCCACCTGGGACAGCTCTGAGTCCCACTCCCCGACAGCACCTAAGCACCAGAGTCCATGGCTGCCCTGGCCTCCTTGCTCCAGCGTCACAGATACACCAACATTTTTACAATTACCGGAAACAATACTACTGCACCAGAAAAAAAGATACATTGTCCAGACTTTGCCTAAATCAGGCTATCTCAGTGTCAGTACTACTGACATGTTGGGCCAGATTCTTCTTTCTTGGCAGGGGGAGCAGTGCTATGACATGAGAAGATATTTAGCAGCACCCCTGGCCTCTATCCTCTAGATGCCAGAAGCGACAGCCCCCCTCCACCACGTTGTGACAATAAAAAATATCAGACGTGGCCAACTGTCCCCTGGAGGGGGCAAAATCACCCCCGGTTGAGAGCCGCTGCTCTCAGGGCATCAGACCCAGCCATCCACTCATGGAGACGTGCTCGCTCCAGGCAGGATGGCTGGAAGAAGACTTCCTGTAGGAGGTGCCTTCTCGCCAACTGGCATGAAAGCAGTGCGGCAACTTCCCACTAGTTTCTAAAAGCTACGGGGAAAAGTGAAGCGGAGAGGGGAACGTAAGCCTTCATACCTCTCGCGCCTGCCCGGAGTCTGAAGCAAGCTGGGCAAATGGTCCATGAGGACAGCAAGGTCCTTGGCTTTTGCAAACGGAACCAGCTGGGCCAGGACCTCCTGATGCAGCCCGGATGCTGGGGGCCCATCTGTGCTGAGAAGCCTGGTCTGCAGCCGTTTCCACAGGGCCTTCCTCAAGACGGGAATGACAGCAGAGGACACTAGGCAGAGACAAAAAGGAGAAATGGTCACACACTGCGGCATGCTGGGGCCAGCACGTACCAGCTCACAGAGCCCATGGCGAACTTTTAGGAATTTTGTGACTGGGTGAGTTCACACTCGTATCTTGAGGTTGGCCAGGGCAGGAGCACAGATGCCATGGAGATTGGCAAATGCGAGGGCCAGTCTGTTAAACGTTGACCAGCATGCCACTGGTTACCTCTCGTCAGTCAACCCTCTGACACTGGGCCCTGAGTGTCTAGCTCGAAGCTGGTCATGGGACTGTGAGCACCAAAGTTCTGGACTCGCTCGCGATTCATGCCTCAAAGGCACGGGAATTGGAGAGGTACACCAAGAATCACTGACTAGAGGGGGCGCCTGAGTGGCTCAGTCAGTTAAGTGTCCAACTGTTGGTTGCAGCTCAGGTCTTGATCTCATGGGTTGTGAGATCGAGCCCTACGTCAGGCTCCCTACTCAGCATGGAGTCTGCTTGAGATTCTCTCCCTCTCTCTCTGCCCCTCCCACTCGGTCTCTGTCTAAAATAGTAAATAAATCTTAAAAAAAAAAAAAAAGAATCACTGACTAGAAGGGGGCTCTCTTACTTTTTAAAACATCTGTCATCACTGGTACAAAGTCATGACACACTGAGGGAAAGCAGTGAGTGAACAGTCATTCATACCCACGATAAAAAGAAATTAAGGCAAATTTCAGGTGAGCAAAAAGTGCCTCGGACCTGAAACCCTACAGGTGGAGGAAGAGGGCTGGGCCCAAGCTGCCTTGACTCAGCGTCACTCACTGACACTTCTTCTGCTGGGGACAATGGGCTGGGACAAAGGGCGGTCACCCCAAATGCCTCCCTTGCCCTGGTGCTGACCCTTCCTCGACCCAGCCCTCCCCCGCTTACTGCGGGGGGAGCCGCGGGTGGATGGGAGTGTGGGGCAGCACCTCAACCCACGGCCGAGACCCGAGACAGGGTAGGGCTGGGAGTGCGAATCTCTCCTCTTTCTCGATCTCCAGAGCTGGGTCAGTGGCTGGAGGACAGAGAGAGAGACTTAGCCCACACCCCAACTGTGGGAGTTCCCTGTTAGACCTCCTCAGCCCTCTGACTTAACACCCCCAGCTGCCCGAAGCCACCAGCTGCTGTACCTCCCACTGGGCGTGCACAGTGGCCCTGTGTCCTGGCCTGGAGATACGCGTGGAGGAGAGGGAGCAAGTCATCCAGGCGCTCCTGGAGGCAGAGCCCCGTGCCGGGCTGCCCGCACCACAGCTCGAACCGCAGGAGGTGGGTGCAGCTCAGCTGCAGGAGCAGGGCGGCGATGCCGAGGGCTGCCTGCGTCTGCCGGGCCAGGCAGTAGTCGAGCAGGTCCACCCCAACCACGGGGGCCAGAGCGGGCTCTCTCTGCAGAGTGTGGAGTAATACAGCGTCCAGCTCGTCCACGGCCAATGTGGGGAGCAAAGCCCCCAGGCTTTTCACAAACTCGGAGGCCCAAAGGAGCTCACTGCTCTGCAGCTGGTCCTGGGGGCTGCTAATCAACAGCTGGACCAGGGCCTTGCCGAAAGCATTCAGGTGTCTCTCCTTCCCAGGAGACTTCGTGGGCCACTGGGTCACCAGCTGGGCCTCAGGCAGGCTCAGCAGGGCCAGGGTGACCTCTCGGAGCTGGGCGCCCTCCATGTAGGGATGCAGTCCCTGCAGGGCCTCCAGTTGCGGGAGGGTCTTTGGTGGTGATGCGGCCGAGCCTGTCCTCCTGTTTTGCAACTCCTTCAACACGCTCTGAGTGATGGCCTCCAAGTACTTGGCCAGGAGACCCCGCTGACCAGTGCTCTGGAGGACCGGGGCGCTAGCCATTAGCAGCTGCAGGACCCCTGCACTGAGGTGGGCTGCCAGGAGTTTCACAAGGACGGGGCTGAGGGTGTGCGGAGGGAGGGCCTGTTGCTCCAGGGCCAGGTACCAGCCCTCCAGTGTGGGGTGTCGGAGGATGGCCACGAGCACCTCCTCCAGTGTCTGAAATAGAGTGATAAGGCACAGACCTCACACACGGCCCAGAGCCAGCAGGGAGTAGGATGGAGGGCAGACAACAGCATTCCTAAGCCATTCCATCCGCAAGCCCCAAAGCACCCCAACCCAAGCCTGGTCAAAGCTATAACCCGACTGCACTGCATTGCCCTCCTCTCCCTGCCCCCCGGGCAACTGTGACAGCTGAACCATGACTGGGCCAGTGTCCCACTCACACTGGCAGGTGTCTGACGAATTCAGCCTGAACGGATTAACTGTACAACAGAACTGCTCTCCACCAGGGGATGGGCTATGCAGCAATGCCCAAATGTGGTGAAGACCAATCATCTGGTTCCTGCTTAGCAGCCCTGCCCTCCGACATCAACCTGACCGAGGGACACAGGGATCCCGGGAGCAGCGGGATCACAGCGCGGGAGACCCTGCATCTGGGAACGGTGGCTTCGAGGTCCCCAGCAGGGGAGAGGTAAGCTCACGCTGTGGAGCTACTGGGCCAGCCGCACCCACCGCCCAGCCTTCACTCAACACAGGCTGCAACTGCTCAAAAGGAAAACGTTCCCAGTTTCTCAAGATGCTCGTGTCACCCAGTGTACGAGAAACAGCTCGCAGGGAAGGCAACTGGAAAGCTACACGCCCACATTATACCATGCTTATCTGTGGGTACAGGGGTCAGGGGTCGGGGGGAGGTTCAGTGTCCCCTCTGCGGTGTTCTGCGATTCCTTATTTACCTGCAACGAACACGTCCTCGTGTTGGATCAGAAGCAGAGGAAAAGCCAAGGTCTGAGACTTGACAGGAAAAGGTTAACAGGAAGGAGACCCACAGAAGAATGGCAGTGGTACCTTGTCATTGGCCAGCTCCAGTGAGGCCATGGACTCCATGTCCAAAAAGAGGTCGGATTCGGCCTGGGCGGCCTCGCATTTCTGCTGGTTCTGTGCATCCAGCTGCACACAGTGGACGACCAGGCGCCTGAGGAGGTCCAGGAGGAGCTGCAGGAGGGCAGGCCCTGCACTTCGGCCCAGCTGTGAGGACAAGAGCCGCACGACTGCTCAGAGGCCGGCGGGGGGGCTCACAGTCGCCACGACCGTGACTACCGCGTCCCTCCACAACCAGAAGGGGCCACGTTACCAGAAACAAGGACTGAGGAGGGCAACAGGCTAGAGTGGCAACTCCTTGTAAAACACCAAGAACCTCAAAGTCCTCTCTCAGTAAGATGTGCCCCCTAAATCTCGATGAAGTATGCAGGTTTATCTTGACCAAGGTGAGGGAAGCCCAAACTAAAACTCCGTAAAACACACCGGGAACAGAAAGCTCACCAGTGAACGACAAAATTACAACTTATGCAAGACGGTGGGTCTGGCAGCGCACTGACCCAGTCTGCCGTGGGAAGGACCCTGGCAGCAGGGTCGGCCATGTCGGCTCCTGGTCTGCAGGGGTCTGCAGCTGCTGAGGGGTACAGATTCTGCGAGGGGTACAGAAGCCTGCAGATACTGGGTGCCGAACCCACCTCTGCACATCTGCTCCAGGGAGGAGAAGCAGTCCAGGAGGGAGGGGCAGGCTGTGAACTAGCAGCCCAGGCTCCCCGGCTGGGTGGGTGGGTGGGGCGGTGGTCCTGTGTATGTCACCTCACTAAGTCTCCTCGTGAGCAACGGGGTGACAATGAGACTCCAGGGCTCTAGCAACACCGTCACTTGCTCTGGACCCGACTCCCGAAGGGCCGCTCTGGAGGCCGAGATGTGGGGACACGCGGGGTCTGCGCGGAGAGGCCGGGGCGGTGCGGACCTGGCCGAAGCTCTGCACGGTGCTCCTGAGGTACAGCAGCAGGTGTGTGGCCGAGCGCAGCAGCTGGTGCATCGGGACGTGCGGGAGGGCAGCCCGCAGCCGCGCCTGAACCTGCCCGTCCAGGAGCGCGCCCTCGCTCTCGTAGGCCGTCTGCAGCAGGGCGGCGAAGGAGGAGGCTGGAGGACCCTGGGGCGCAAGGCTGCCTGGCGTCTGAAGGGGCTTGGGGAGGCAGCAAAAGCCCGGAGGGAAGGAAAGACAAACAACCACAGATAAAAAAGGTGCGCGGTCTGCTAAGACAGGTACGGGGTGATGTTCATGACAAGGGGACACTTCACAATCGCGTCCTAATACTAGAAAACACGTGACTGCGTGACATTTTATTTATGCAAATTAAGCCGCAGCGTTCTCAGTCACAGGTACGTTCCCAGAGGGCCTTAACACGAAGGCACTGGATCGGGAAGGCGTTCACACACGCTGGGGAACGGACGCTGCAGCCTGGAGCCACATGTGACAGACATTTCACTCAGAAGAGTCACTGTGCAGGCAAGCATCTGACTCTTGATTGCGGCTCAGGTCACGATCTTAAGCCCCGCAACAGGCTCTGTGCTCTGCGGGGAGTCTGCTTCTCCCTCTGCCCCCCCATCACTCATGCTCGCTCTCTCTCGCTATCAAATAAATAAATAAAATCTTAAAAAAAAAAAAGAAGAAGAAGAAGAGTCACTGTGATTAATCACTGGGAACTGGGAGGTCACAGCCGTGCAGGAGCCAGGTCGGTAAGCTCCAGGCCTTCCAAAGGCCCTCCCCCAGGAGCCTTGGTCAGAGTATCTTGTTGGGGGACTAACAAGACAGCGGACAGAATGAAGACAAATTTCTGGACTTCTACCTCAAACTGAAGTTGTTGATTTTTTCTACGACAACCACACTGCCTTTTTTATTCACCCCCACGTGCCTCATATCACTCTACCTCCACACGCTCCACATCGCAAGGCCAACGAAACGAGGCCACGTGTGTCCAGAAACACAGCAGGTCTCCGGGCAGGGTCCCCGGACCAGCAGCAGCGCTGCTCGGAACCGCCGAGAGAGGCCAACCCCCCGGGGCCCCCTGCCGAACTGAACGCACTCAGGGCGGGGCCTGGAGACCATGTCTGACGCCCCCTGGAGGGTGAGCAGCACTGCTGGGACCTACTCAGCAGAAAGCGGACGCCTTCCTCTGAGCACCCGTGAGGTGCAGCCCTGAACTGCGACGCTTGCCCTGAGCTCTGAGCGGCCACCACCAAGTCTGAATCACAGCCTAGCCGGGGGTGGGGGGAGCGGGGAGGAAGGTGGCAGCGGCCAGGAAGGGCGTGGACACTGGAGCCCACTGCCTGGGCGGAATCCTGACCTTGCTCCCATTGCTGCCTAGAGGTGGAACCACTCTGTGCCTCACTTTCCCCATGTGTGTAATGAGCCCAGTAAGTCCTGACCTTCTTGGAACTGCTGTGAGGATTAAGGGACTTAAAACACACGTAGTATCCCCAGCAGCGGGCCCTGACGAACGGAAACATGCAAGCACTGTAAGCGACGGCTACAAATATCACAAGACAAAGAGGCCCTGAGCCGCCTTTTTCAAGAAAAGCTAAAAATTGAATATATACACAAAATGCACACCCAGTTAACTGCCCCCCTGCCCTCCAACATTCGTAAACAGTCTGCAATGGGGCCAGACCTGCAGCACCCCATTACAAGAATGCAGTCCCCACGTAAAGAAGGTTCTTTGTTTCCACTTTCCCGGTCTTCACAGAATGGAGACTGCTGGGGGTGGTCAGCTGAGCCCACACGGTTGAGGAGCGTGCTAAGGCCCGCCGGAGAAAGCTAGGACCCACACGTACCAGATGACTCGGTAAGGAGAAACGGCAACCTCCCTCCCGCCCCGAACCGTGACGAGGGAGCCCTGCAGCCTGCGGGAAACTCAATTCCCTGCATCACCGAGCCATCTAGGCTCCATCCTAGCAGCTGAACGGCAATGATGCCCCCTGAGCGCCTTCTCTTGTGCAGGGAAAGCAGAAGGTTAACAAGCTTCTCCCTGGAAACTGAGCAGCCGGACAGCTGCACAGCTGGGGCACAGCCAGAGTGGCCCACAGAAGGCACCTCGGGGTTTTCTAGGCAAAGGCCTGGCTTCCGTGGGAGCAGTGATGCCCAGCTCACCGAGGCCTCTCGGGCTGGCTCTGGGATCCAGCGGCTGTAGTATCCGCGGAACCGGGACAGCTGATGGCAGCAAGGCGGGGCCGGAGGCTCCAACGTGTCGTAAGCCTGAAGCAGCAGACACAGAGCCAGAGGGTCCCTCTGCGTGTGGAGCAGGTCTGTCAGCACTGCCGTCAGATACGCCACGACGCTCTCTCCTGCCGGGGAATGAGATGTGTGACCACCCTTCTGCGACCCATCAGTAACACCAATTCCCACACGGATTTGAGACCCAGCAAAATGCAGGCCAACACACCGAAAGGCAGATGCTACCACTGCAGAGCGCATCCAGGCTCCGTTGCATTGACTCTGCGACACACACACCCTCAGGCTTCCGGTCCCAAGGCCTGGAAGTGGAGACCCAGGCGTGGAAGAGGTGATGCAGAAGCCACGTGCGGCCAGGACTCGCTTGGTGCTCACCAATCCGTCTCTCGTTCCTTGGCACGCGGGCGTCGCCTGTGGTTAGGCTAGGACCACGTGACTGAGGCAGCCACTTCCAGGCCTGGCCAGAACAGCCTCAGCATGACTGCCCTCTCTCTCTTCCTTTTCCAAGGTGACCCTGGAAGCCGTATGTTGAGACAGCACAGCTACAAGATGGGAGTGGCCTGGAGCCCTGAGCTGCCTCCTACAGGACAGTCACCCAAAAGAGCAACGTGACCTGTGCTAGGCTCTGGCAAGGTCTAGAAAAACAGCTTTACTCGTTAAACCACTACATGTTGGGGCTTCTTTGTTATTGCAGCAAAGCCTGAGCAACCCTAAGGACACCACTGTGATCTGTGAGTACTTCCTTGGTTCTACGTTCCAGCAATTTCCAGCAAGTATGAAGGACTCCTAGCCTAGCATCGTGATAGGAAGAACAAACATTGAAGAGAAAACATCAGGGTTCCAGCAGGGGCCTGTGCAGCCCCACAAATGCATTATTATGGACTTATGCTCAAATGACCATCTCCCAGAAGTCCAGCTATCCTCTAGACTTATCCTTACGTGCTCAGCTCTAAAGGCCAAGTAGCTATCACGTTGGTGGGTCTGAATCTTGCTGCCTTGGATTTTCAGCCATTACTCCCAGAGCCCCTGGAATCACACCTCCTACTCCGCAGAGACCCAGCTGGATGATGCACCCAGAGTATCCTGACGACACACAGGTACCTGTTTCACTTTCTGTCCCAAGGAGCAACTTATTCCTGGCTTCCAGGGCGGCGGGGACCACCGCGCTGAATGGGAATGTGAGCAGGATCATGTCATCGTTCAGTAAGAATCCAATTTCCTCATCCAAGCCTTCGCTGCCCTCCACCAGGACGTCCACCATGTCGAGAACATCTGAGTCAGAAAGGGGACAGTCAAACCAAGGCAAGAGCCACTGAAGGAACCCACTGCAAAGAGCTCCACAGGGAGGGATAAGAGAACGTTTGATAAAAGCTAAATGTCCCCGGGGGAAAGGGCTTAATATAAGGAAGTTTGGTTCTAAATAGATGAGGACATCGCCTATAAAATCCTGAGATCTCTGCCAGACAAAATGCAGGATATCCAGCTCAGGTGGTAAGAGACTGAAGTTTCCTCAAGTGACACGGAGAAGCCCCCAAAACCTTAACGTGGATATTCGGCAAACAAGTCAAAATCTGAGAAGCAAAAAAGCATAAGGGTTGAAGAACAGGCCAGAGCCAGTGTCAGGTTCAAATCCCGACTTTCCTAGGTACTACCTGTGTGACTTGAGCTAATTACCTAACCTTTCTGTGCCTCAGCTGTCTTATCCCTATATAAAATGAGGAAAAGGACACCTGCCCTGTAGGGTGGTTCACGAGGTTGCAGGAGGTAGATTTATGAAGAGCTGAGATCAACACCTGGCACAGAGGAAACACTGCACAAATAAAAATAACCCAGCAAATAGACTCTGTACATACTCCCCATTCTATGAGCAAATAAGGCAATTTTCATTTCCAGAGTAGACTGAGCTTTGACTCAAAGAAACAGATGTCTATAATCTGCATAAGACATGAACACAACGCTCATTTTCATCACTGATTTGCCACAGTGGCTTGAACTCCAGAAGCCCAAGGAGCATAGAGGCAGCGGCGCCTACCGTCGATGTGAGAGACAGGAATGCTGACATCGTCAGCATCCTGCTTCGTCCCAGTGGCCTGCAGTGTGCTGGCTTCCTGGACAAAGTCAGAGGCTTTGTCTGTGTATGAATAGGGATTCGCCACCAAAGTCAGCAAAACCTGGGCATTGAAGAGTCAAGCAGAAAACATTCTGAGGGTCACAAATGAAATGCAAATATGCCAAAAAATATCACCGGTAAAATGAGGGAAGAGCTAAAATGTTAGCAGTCCTCAATAAGAACTGTAATTTTTCTGCCAAGTTTTTAACTTTTTGTTATAAAATTTAAAAAAAAAATTCCTTTAGTATAAACCATTGCTTTTAATATCGCTCTAAGCATACTATTGTTCTCTTCGTGCAAAGACAAATCCTCGAAAGGTCATTAAATAGTACATGGTAATATATACCCATTTTACAAATTCTAAAACTAAGCAAATTCTGACATCTCGGCAGGAATTCTGAAGCAAGCCAGAAACGGGGCATTTGGCACCAGTGCATCAAAAATGCCTTAACTGAGGGCGCCTGGGTGGCTCAGTTGGTTAAGCCACTGCCTTCGGCTCAGGTCATGATCCTGGAGTCC